TTTTTTACTCAAGTTTTAATGGGAGGTTTGTATAAGGTGTCTAACTTAATATTCTTGACGTAAGGCCCATTGCACAACTATGCTGAAAGATGCAGTTTCGATACCGAAAAGCCTTGCGGTACTATGAAAATATATTATCACTCTTAATTATGAAATTTAAATATCTAAAAATAATGCAAATTGAGCTAATCTATAAACAATTAAAATTTTTGAAAATGGATAGTCCAGTGATACATTACAAGATGCACCATTTTCATGTTTTTTTCCTTCTTTTCTCTCTTTTTATTTTTATTTTTATTTTTTTTCCATATCCTTATACTTAGAGGTGGTGATCAATTCGATAGTTTTTTAGCATCTGAGCAACCATTTTTTATGGAATTTTAAGAGGTGCCTTACTTTAATAGCAAGGTTTGAAAACATGGTTCGTTGACTTGGATCGCCCCTTCAAAAAACCGAATGGATCGGAGGTCCGGAACGCCGAACCGGCCTAATGAACTTCTGAATAAAACATTAAAAATATTAGGCAATAAAAAATAAAATATTAAAAAATAAATTAGGACCGGTCAGAGAACTAGCCAAAACCGACCATTTCATGGGGGGTACCAGCCAGTTCCTAATATTAACGGGATCCACATGAACCTAACCGATTCCCTATCCAACTCGACTTGTTTGAATCCAAATCATCGACCTTTAAAAAGCTTGTTTAATAGCATAAGGTCTAAAGAATTCTAGATAGAGAAAGGAACTTTGGATAGGATAATTGTGCCCTACTCACTTTCTTGTATTGGTTCTTTCATTCTATATATAATAGTAATACATGGTATAATGTGCACTTTCCTAGCATGTTGTATGAAATATATCACTTTCCAATTATTTTATATTCTATAGTGGTAATATTTTGTTTCTATTACTCCTCTTCAAACTTGGCTAAGGAGGCATTTGAAGCAAAGATCTTGAAAAGCGTCTCGTGGCAAAGGCTTGGTGAAGATATCAGCTACTTGATTGCGAGAGGAAACAAAACGAATGATAATAATCCAATTGCAATATTTTCAAGCACAAAATGATAGTCTAACTCAATGTGCTTTCTCCGTGCATGAAAAACAAGATTAACTGTCATGTAGAGAGCACTAATATTGTCACAAAAAAGTGTTGGAGGCTAAAGGAGAGGCAACCCAACATCCCGAAGAATAAAAGAAAGTCAGGTCCATTCTGCAGCAGTGGATGTCATAGATCGGTATTCCATTTCAACACTAGAACAAGTTGTTTCTTAGTACTCCAAGATATGTAGTTGGAACCAAGATAAGTGCAGAAACCAGTGGTTAAACGACGAGTGGTTGGACATCCAACCCAGTCTGCATCAGAGAAGGCATATAATTCAATGGAACTAGCTGATAAGATTTTTATACCACATGATTGTGTACCATTGAGATAATGGAAAATCTGCTTAACTGCTTGAAAATGTGCAATTGTAGGGGCATACATAAATTGACACACTGAATTAATACTATAGGAAAGGTCTAACCGCGTTATGGTAATGTATTGAAGTGCACCAACAATGCTCCGGTAAAGAGATAGATCAAGAAATGGATCGAAATACCCATGAATATATTCTTCATTTGTCATTGGTGTTGAAATAGGTTTGGCACCAAGTTTTTTAGTACGATCAAGAAGATCTCGAGCATTTTTGCTTTATGAGAGAAAAATCACACCTAAAACATGAGTACCTCTATACCAAGAAAATAGTGAAGAAGTCCAAGATCTTTTATTGCAAATTTCCTTTCAAGTTGGGAAATAGACCATTCTAGAATATCTGAATTATCATCAGTAATAATAATATCATCAACATAAAGGAGAAGGCTAATAGTGGCTTGAGTAGTTCGAAAAGCAAATAGAGATAGATTAGCTATGCTGCAACACAATCCCAATGATAATAAATAGGCACTAAAACGATCGAACCAAGCCCGAGGTGCTTACTTAAGACCATATAAATCTCTTTTTAATTTGCAGACATAATTTAGATATTTTGAACTAACAAATCTAAGAGGTTGCTCCATAAATACAGATTCCTTAAGAAAACTATGCAGAAAATGATTTTTTACATCAAGTTTTTGATAGGCCAATGGCGCACAATAGCTATGGTGAGCATAATCCGAATACTAGCAGGCTTAATAATAGGACTGAATGATTCAGAGAAATCAATAGCAACAATCTAATTGTATCATATAGCAACTAGTTTGACCTTAAGTCTCTCTAAACTTCCATCAGACTTTAATTTAGATTTATACACCCCATGACAACCAACAACATTCATACCTGGAAGACGTGGTACAAGTTCCCAAGTTGAATTAACATACAGAGCTTCAATTTCCTCTTCCATCGCACAATGCCAACACGGATGACCTAAGGCAGACTTAAAAGTTTTAGGTTTATAAGGGATAATTTTAAAAGTATGAGCACTTGATATTGCAGCCATGGATGGGATAATCCGAGGTCTTCGAGTATCATCTTGATATTTTGTAACCATGTGATAAAGAGGATGCTAAGAGACTGGTAAACAATTAGATTGGTTGGTTTCTTGAGTGGCAAATACTTGAAGGGAACCAAGGGTTGACAAAGAAAGTTTCAAGCTTGAGGAAACTTAAGAAGGACGAGCAAGATCAGGATGAGGAATAGAATATGGACAAACCTTTTAAAGACGAATAGAAACCGACATACTTGATTGCTTTCTAAATTTTGTTTTCTCTGTCAACTTTGCTTCATGGTTTGATTGTGTGCTAGCACCAACAACTCTGATACCATAAAAATTTCTAGATAGAGAAATGAACTTTGGAGATGATAATTGTGCCCCCACCCACTTTCTTGTGGTGGTTCTTTCATTCTATATATAATGGTAATACATAGTATAATGTGCACTATCCTATCTTGTTACATGAAATATACCTTTTCTAAAAAATTTACATGCTACAATGGTAATATTTTGTTTCTATTAAGGTCGACACATTATATAAAAGGTGAGGTTTGTATAAGGTATTAACCTTATACTAATGAAGTAAGGTGCACCTCAAAACTATGCCGAAATTGTAGTTTTGGTGTTGCAAAGCATTACAGTGATATGAAATCTATTGTTGCCCCAATTATGAAATTTAAAGTTCAAAAAATGATGACAATTATGTACATCTCTAAACACTTGAAAATCATTAAAATAGACGGTCTAGATAATGTGTTAGAAGATGAACTATTTTTATGACTAGAAATCCCCCGTTTTTTTTTATATCTATGAATCTTGAGGTCGAGTTCTTCGATTTAAAGGTATTCTAGCATAAAAACAAACTTATATTGTTCGCACTTTTAGTTTCGCCAGGAAATCATATAGTAAGTTCTAATATACCGTCGATTATGAAGTAAATTATTTTGATATACTTCCTCCATTCATTTCCCACCTCCCCCGCTTCAACCCCTGGACGTGGGCTGCGATGGGGTAGTGATCAACCCACATAGTAATAAGAGGCATTGACAATCAGAAATTTAGGTAACATGAGAGAGTGTGGCATTATGCAGTGGCTTGAAGTGAGAGAGAAAGAAGGGGTGTGTCTGTCATGCACGTCTTTTTTTTTCTTTTTCTTTTTTTTAATTTTGTAATTCAATGAGGAAGACTGACCTCTATCCATTTTTTCAAATAGATTAGGAATTAGCTTTTTGAAAGTATTAGTAAAGTGGTGTTAGTGGTGGGAATAGAAACCACACCGTAGTGACTAGGGTGTGCGTTCTACCACTACGACCCTGACCTCTTTCCCACATGCACACCCTCTTCCCACTTTCAGCGTCGCCTCATTTTCAACTTCCACTTCCTAGCAAATTATTAACATGCTTAAATCTATTCATTAACATACTACCGATTTTTTCAAGTTGATTAGGAGTTCGCGTTTTGAAGGTATTAATGGGGTGGTGTTAGTGGTGGAAATAGAAACCACAACGTGCTGACCAGGGTGGTACTACCACCATGACCCTAATCTCTTTCCTACATGCATGCCTTCTTCCCAATTTCAATGTCACCTCATTTTCTAACGTCCACTTCCTCACTATTCACTAACATACTTATTTTTATTCATTAACATACTTAAATTGAACTTTGAGGTGAGATCATAGCAGTAGCATCATATGAGCCTCAGTTATTAGTCTAGGTTTCTATCCCTAGTGAAGCATTCAAAAACCACTAACTATTTTTAAAACGGGTAAGGCCCGTATTCCCTACTGATCATCATCAGCAAAGGGAACACTGGTGGTGAGCAGGGTGTGGGGTGCTACCATCACGACCCTAACCTCTTTCCCACATGTACGCCTTCTTCCCAATTTCAATGTCGCCTCATTTTCTAACTTCCACTTCCTCACTATTCACTAACATACTTAAATTTATTCATTTTATAATGCGTTAGTAGAAATGTAAACCTAAACCGATAGCTGAACTCCAAATAGTGCGACCACCGTGTCTTCAAGTCATAATCAGAAATTTAAGTATGTTAGGGTGTGTTTGACAAATGGAATTTTTAGGAGTGGAAATAACTCTCCCATAAATTATGGAAGGCTGATCTTCCATCATTTTTTATGAAGAGAGGTCTTCCAAAGATGATCGCATTTTAACACTAAAAAAAGCAGTATCAACTTCCACAATAATATAAAACATGAAAGTGAGACGTTTAACTCTCACTTTCAAAAACTTCCACTTATCAAACACGCATTTTACTGTATAAAAAGAAAATGGAAGTTAAGAAAATGAGGAGGCAGTGAAAGAGGGAAGAGGGGGTGCATGAGAGACACGCCCCTTCTTTATGATTGCCACATCTCCCCACTCGTAGAATCATTGTGAGAGTGAAGTATCACACATTTTATCCCTCTCTCTCTTTTCTCTCTGTGTGCAAACAGTCGGGTATCTAGAATTAATCAGAGTAAAGAAGAAGGAAGAAGATTGCAATTTATCGGAGTAAAGAAAAGGATATGTTAAGATGGGGAGTCTTAGTCCGGAATTCGCATATGCAGTGGTGTACGTAAAGGACGTTGCCAAGTATGTGGCTTTCTATATCCGTGCCTTTGGCTGCAAGGTTCGCACCCTCCACGAGTCCCACAGGTTACACTCTCTCGAATGCTTAGTGTCCTCTCAAGGGAAAGAACGATACATTTGCATCGTCACTGATTATAGACGGTGGAGATGCGATGTATCCAAGGTTCCAGGCTTCGGCTTCGCCCAGGGCCAAGATATCTGGCCGAGGAGATTT